TGTTACTATTATTATTAAAGGGAAAGGGAAAGGTTCCCCTCGCACATATGTACTAATCATTCCCAACTCTAGGGGGCAGTGCTCATCTCAGTTTCAAAGCCGAAGAGCCAGCGCTCTCCGAAGATGTCTCCGTGGTCATGTGGCTGGCATGACTAAATGCCAAAGGCTCACGGACCGGTGTTACCTTCCCACCAAAGATGGTCCCTATTTTTCTACTTGCATTTTTTACGTTCTTTCAAACTGCTACGTTCTAGGTTGGTAGAAGCTGGGACAAGTAACGGGAGCTCACCCCATTACGCGGCACTAGGGATTTGAACCCCTGAACTACCCCCCTTTCGATCGACAAGCTCAGCATCTTAGCCACTGAGCCACCACATCCCTATTATTATTAATAATAAATAATATAATATAATTAATAGTATTAAAATACTATTATTATTATTTTCTGCCAAATCTAGAAAGAGAGATAATAATGTAAGTTTGTGTGATTTTTTATGCCTTTATTACTGTTTATGCAACATGTAAAGAAAACCAGAAAATGATTGCATATTTAATGAAATTTGATCAGAAGCAAACGGAGAATGCCAATTTTGAATAATTGGCACAGACTGATGGCAGTTTAAGAGATTTCAGAGCAATATTTTCACTTCTTTATTTTTAGTAATCAGAAATACAATTTAATCAAAGTCAGCCCTGATTGGTGCCACTCCCAAAGTGAGTACGGTAATTCTTAAGTAAATACATGGTTGAATCCAACACGCCTTTAGGTATATTGAGATATAACAAGTTGTGCCTCAAGTGGCATTAGTTTTGATTAGTTTGAAGTCAATTGCATGCCCAAAGCCATCTTTAAATATACATAAGCCATAACAACATAACCATAACAACTACAACTAAATATTCTTTTGCAGCACAAGTTCAGAGACATTTGTAGCACTAGATAGGCCGTCCTGGGAGCCAAAGTGTGGCATGTCGTGAATGGCCACTGATTTGCTGAACAAATTGATTAAAGGTATACTTGTGAGCAATTTTTAAATGTAAGGAAATAAATGTCACGACATTTATTTCCTTACATTTAAAAATTGCTCACAAGTATACCTTGTGAGATATACACACATACAAACAGACACACACACACACACACACACACACACTCTTCAGGGAAGTGAGCAAACAAGTAGAAATATGGGGAAAAAAACTGATATTTTTTGAGATACCACTGCTAGTGGTGGTCCTTTCTCAGCTTCAAAACTATGCAACATCAAAGCAACAACTAGCAGCAGTATCTAAATTGCAGGAAATTATACATGCCTAATAACCGAGAATTAAAGGCTCAGTCTCTTTAAGTGCTAGTCACTTTGCTCACTCTTTTGTGCAAGCCAGCAAGGATTTAGTATGGTAGTAGCCTAGGGAAGGGAAGGGAAGGGAAGGGAAGGGAAGGGAAGGGAAGGAAAGGAAAGGAAAGGGAAAGAACTATTAGCTTGTTCTTGAAAAAAGTCTATACATCCAACATTTGACATTTGTTATATGCTGCTTCACAGACATATTTTTTCTGTTAAGTACCGTAGCTCTTCAGTTCTTAGAAAAATGTAATAGAAATTATTTGACCATGATTACAGTGGGCAGAGAATACCTTCCCATGAACCCTGATTATTCTGTTTGCTGAAAAATGCTAAACCCTGCTAAACAAATAATTCCCTCAACACTGTCAAACTATTTACTAAGTCTGCATTACTATTAATATTCTTATCGTTCCTATCACCTATTTCCTCCCACTTATGACTGTATGACTGTAACCTTGTTGCTGGTATCCTTAAGATTTATATTGACTGTTTCCCTATGACTATCATTAAGTGTTGTACCTTATGATTCTTGGTGAATGTATCTTTTCTTTTATGTACACCGAGAGCGTGTACACCAAGACAAATTCCTTGTGTGTCCAATCACACTTGGCCAATAAAGAATTCTATTCTATTCTATTCTATTCTATTCTATTCTATTCTATTCTATTCTATTCTATTCTATTCTATTCTATTTAAATATGGTTATTTTTTCTTGATTGAATTTGAATATCATAATTTCTTTCATTGAGTATTGGAAGATATATTTTTTTAAGTCGTAAGGAGGTTTTATACTTAGGAGGAATACTAGGCCCTTGTTTGCCACAGATCAACAGCCTGCCTTTACCACATTATTCCAGTTTACAATGGTGTAGGAACTAGAGCCACTGAATAATTATGGTTAGGCAAGGATCAAAGGGATCTGATTTATAGCCACAGTGCAGACTTCTCTTTGAATATTTGTGCTATAGTTTCATACCTAAGGAATTCTTGCTGATTTAATCTTTTAAAGGTTGAATGTAGAGCTTTTATAGTTTTCTAAGTCTTTTTTTTTTTTTTAAATACAGTAGTAATTAAGATAGTTTGTCAGTAGGGAGATCCATTATATACCCCTCCTTGTTTTGAAGAGTGAATGCTATAACTCACCCATAAAAATTTGCTCCAGGCTAACTCTTGGCATAAAAGATTTTATGAGGAAGGGAGAATCTGGTGTATGATTATATTGGTACATAGTAGTCATGTTATGTCATCTCTTATACAAACCTAAATCATCCCAATTGCTCTAAGCAGCAATCAGAGAATTGTGCAATATTGAAATATCAACAAACTGAGTTTTAAACAAATGAAAGAATAAACCTTTGATCTATGAGGAAAATATATTTTACTGTTTTGGGTGTCTATGAGTCAAAAGCTACAGAAAAGTACAAAAATACACATTAATACAAGCCAATAAGGCAGTGCAGGATTATCTCGTTTAATATTCTGAGGGAAATTTGGTTGGCATGTGTGTATGTGTGTACACATCTTCAAATCAGTGTTGACCCCTTGTAACTGTCTAGATTAGTCCCTGCAATTTTCATTGCAAAATTTCAGAAGTGATTTGCCCTTGCCTGCTTCCTAGGGCTGAGAGAGAGTGACAGGCCCAAGGTCACCCAGCCAGCTTTTTTCTTAATGCAGAACTAGAACTTACAGTCTCCTGGTTTCTAACTTAATGTCTTAACCTCGACACCAAACTGCCTCTATTGGCCTTCCTATTATTTAGTTTTAAATGACAACTGGATAATCTGTGACCTGTTGGGTTATTGTTTCAGAGATATCTCCTTACATAAGCAGAGAAACAGAATCACAAAGAGAGAGAAAAATAGGTGGGAGGGAGACAGAGGGGAGGGGGTCCCTGGAGTATCAAAGCATCCACAAATTTCCCAAATTTCAATTCCATGAGAGTCATGGTTCCTAGATTTTGGATGTATTTTGTAAGCTCATTTGTGGAACCTTGATTTAAAAACTGTTGCCCTATGCCACGAGGTGGTAAACCAGTGGTGGGTTGCTCCCGGTTCGCAGTAGTTCAGAGAACCAGTAATAATATTGGCTGGCCACGTCCCTGAACCGATCCCCGGCCCGGTCGCCGCTCGCTTACCCCGTCAACCTCATCAGAGGCTTTTTTTTAAAAAAACTTTTAAAAGCATTTTTTCTACAACCTCTTCGGCTGAAAAAAATGCTTTTAAAAGTTAAAAAAAAGCTTCTGATGATTGCGCAGCTCAGCTGGGATCTCAGAGGCATTTAAAAGCATTTTTTTCTGAAAAAAAAATGCCTTTAAAAGCCTCTGGTGACCCCAGCTGACTTGCCTGATCGTCAGAGGCTTCTAAAAGCATTTTTTTCCTGCAACCTCTTAAGGTTGTAGAAAAAATGCTTTTAAAACTTTTTTTTAAAAAAAATTGGCCACGCCCACCCAGTCACATTACCCCCCACAAGCCATGCCCACAAAATAAGCCACGCCCACAGAACCAGTAGTAAAAAATTTTAGAACCCACCCCTGTGGTAAACATATCCAACATACTTTCCTCCTCCTATTTTCCCAACAACAACAACCCTGTGAGGTGAGTTTGTAGAGTTTGAGAGACACTGACTCTCCTAAAATCACCCAGTCGGCTTTCATGGCTAAGGCAGAACTAGAATTCATAGTCTCCCACTTTCTAGCCTGGTGCCTTAACCACTAGACAAAACTGTATCTATCTTTAACAATAGATAGATTGAAGAAATGCTTCTTTAACCAGAATAACCACTGATTAAACATTTAAAAATTTATTCTTCAGTTATTGCACTTATATTGCCTTGTTTTATGCTAGACCTATTATTGATTGCTTTATCCAGTTTTTATTGGTGGTGTTTTTAGAATTCTTTATGTTCCTTCCTTTTTTTACATTGGTTCCTGTGGGACAAAAATCATTACAAAAAATAAAATAAGTGAATACACAAATATTTCTGGGATTTATTTCTGGGATAATAGGTGACTGCTACAGAAAGAGAGGAAGACGTGGAGTTGTTATAATATAGTATTTTTCTTCCAGAATAATAGGAAGCAACTTAGAAGAGGGAAGCTCTTAATTTTTAACGGTGTAAAACAGGGCAAATAAAATTTTATCTGAATAATCAGTTTCCCTTAAATGCGTTCAGAAGCAGATGGTAATCAGCAAAGTATGTTCCAATTTTAGAGTTATGATTTTATGGCCCTACTGCTGCACCTATACCTCAAAAAGCCAATTGTAGATGCCAGAAAATATCTGTCATGTCACATGTGTGAAAAGAATTTTGATTAATGTGTACAGCAGTTAAAATATTGGATGGCTGTCAGGGAGAACCAGGTTAAAATCACCTTCAGCCACAGAAACTTATAGGCTGAGTGACTTGGGCCTAGTTACTCTCATGGAGCCCAACCTACCTAACAGAGTCTTTTTTCATGGGAAAAATGGGAAGAAAATGGAAAACGCCCAGAGCTCCTGAAAGGAAGGCAGGATGTAAATCAAATCAAGGAAATTAATTAAATTTGTTTGGAGGCAATGTAAACATATTGGTCGACATGTATGTAAGATTATTACAAATAACAGTGATCTTTTGAGAACCAGGGATTCTTACAAATATTGTCTAATTCGTTTGTTCCAGAGGGCACTGAAACTCTCTTCAAAAGCCACTGAGGAGTCAAAAGATTGCATGGCAAGAATTTTAGGACTTGTTTGGTATTGCTTTGAAAACAGTGATTGTTAAGTTCTGGGTGAAGAATGGAGGTGAGTCCGGAGTGATTTCTAACAGTTCTTTATTCAATACTGCCTCTGAAGCAAAACTGTCTCCCTGGCTGACCCAGCTCCTTTTATATGTAAGCGATAAGGCAAACAACCAATTAGGAGAGAACATTCTCCGACTCCAATGGAGGACCAGAATGAGAACTTCAATTGACAACTATACACTATATACAATACATAACAGTGATGATGGAAGAAGAACACGGGGAAAGTTATTCAAAGGCAAAGGCTAGGAGCAGGAAAGCAAAATCTCCTTCCAGTAAAACATCAATATTCCATGGCATTTATAGGTAGTCCTCGACTTACAACTATTCGTTCAGTGACTGTTCAAAGTTACAATGAAAAAAAAAAGACCTATGACCGTTTCTCACACTTAAGACTGTTGCAGCATCCCCATGGCCAGGTGATCAAAATTCAGACACATGGCAACTAGCATGTATTTATACGATGGTTGCAATGTCCTAGGGTCATGTGGCCCCCTTTTGAAACCTTCTGACAAGCAAAGTCAATGTGGGAAGCCAGATTCACTTAACAATCGTTATTAAAGTAACAACTGCAGTTATTCACTTAACAACTGTGGCAAGAAAGGTTGTAAAATGGGATAGAACTTATTTAACAGCTGTCTTGCTTAGCAACAGAAATGTTGAGCTCAGTTGTGGTTGTAAGCCAAGGACCACCTGTATTTTTTTAATAGTACAGAATACCAAGGAAAACAACTCAGCAGAAACTCTTGGCATCCAGAATTGAAGAGTGATTCCAAAAATGTTGCCAAGCAAACTGCATGGACTTGCCCCTGTAGTCATCAGAAATCGAGACTGACTGGAAGGCACATAAATACCAAAGGTCGTGACCCAGCATCATGATATATTGGGATGATGTTATCTTTTCTAGCTTATTTCCATATTAGCCAAAGGCTAGAACAAAAATACAGAAGCACAGATTCCTGCAGTGAATAAACCAGTAAGGTCAATCAAGATTGCTCTTGATTGTAGTGTCTTTTCTGCCAGTTTATCTTTAAACATTAATTTGCCAACTTTTAAATCCAAGGTTGGATGATTGCTGCAGGTAACAGTCACTCCAGTTGGGAAATTAATTATACTGTGAACAGAACAATATGAAAATTAATTGCTTTCAGTCACAGTAGAATTCTCCTGTCTTTCTTTTTTTTTCTTTCTTTCTTTCTTTCTTTCTTTCTTTCTTTCTTTCTTTCTTTCTTTTTCTTCCTTCCTTCCTTCCTTCCTTCCTTCCTTCCTTCCTTCCTTCCTTCCTTCCTTTTTCTTTCTTTCTTTCTTTCTTTCTTTCTTTCTTTTTCTTCCTTCCTTCCTTTCCTTCCTTCTTCCTGATTTATAGCTCAGTAAAAGGAATGGTGGGGATAAAATTCCATATTGGGAGGCAACCCATTCATTTATATCAGCACCCACATATGTTTTCCAGTTGTCCTGGTTTCCTAATGGGAAGCTCTGTGTGTGTGTGTGGGGGGGGGGTCTTTAGTAGGCAGGGGTCATTGGAAAGAGAGCATAAAAAACATGGGGGAACAGTGACTCTAGAATGGAGTTGCATTGCTAGTTGATGGAAGTTTTGGTGGCATTCGTGATTCTTTCTCCTTGCCTTCCTGTAGTGGAGCAGTTGTTTCTGGGGTCCCAGGTAAGTGGTAGGTCTTAAGAGAAAGGGAGGGGGAGAAATATATTTGACCTGTAGCTGTTGACTTAGATTTCTCTGAGAGATGATGAATATCACCAATGAGAGGAGACTTTCCCCATCACCGCAAAAGAAGCTATTAATGAAATGTCAAGGTTGAGTTCCATTCAGAAATGGGTGGCATGTTAGAAAGGGGAATATTGGTATTATTTATACCATAGTGTTATGACCACAGCTGTCAAAGCATAATACAGTTTTCCACCACCGTGAAGGAGAATAATCAGTAAATAAGTAAGGGAGGAGGAATAAAAAGCTGGGGCTGGGGAAAACCATGCAAAATAAATCTACCTTGAAGAAAGAAATGCTTGAGAGAGGAGGCTGCAAAGAAACGAGAACAAAGAAGGCTTTCTGAAGAGCAGGTGCTTGCTTTTCCAGTCACCTCCAATGGAATAGCAAATAGGGGGAGAGACATTTGTTTTCACTGTGTGTTCCCATGCAGAGAGACCTGTTGGAGAATTTTACCTGTTGATCTTATGACCTTCTGTTAATCAGTGGCATAGTAGTACAGTGTACGTAGGGTAGATTGGAAAAACTTTTGGGTTGGCCAAGACGTCCTTGCATTCTGTGCTTTATTCATCTGTTGGGCATTCATTCCATAGAACAAACTATGAAAATATATTAATATTATATACGATGGGTGTAAATATGCAGCGGTTTGAGATTGTGGAGTCAGAAGGAGTCCTCACTTAAATGACCACAATTGGGACCAACGATTCTGTCACTAAACAATGCGGTCGTTAAGCAAGATGTCATGTGAACATGGCGTGCAATTTTACTGGTGGCTTCTTCGGAGACTCTGCTTATCAGAAGATGGCTGAGAAGCACACAAATGCTAGTCACATGGCCGTGGGTTGCTGTGATGGTTGTAAGCGTGAGGAACAGTTGTAAAGTTACTTTTTCAGTGTCATCATAGCCTTGAACAGGCCTACCTGTAAAATCAGTCTATCATCTATCATAGACTGCCTGCCTGCCTGCCTGCCTATCTAATCTATGAGGACCCAGATTGTGGTGGCAATGTGCTGACTGCAAACTACTTAACAAGGGTTCTAAGGTACTGTGAAGCAGTATATAAGACCAAATGCTATTGCTATTGCTCTGTCTGCCTGCCTGTCTGTCTATCTTTCGCAAGATTGAAGTAAAGGTATGATATGGTATGTTATGTTCCTTACATGGTCCCAAATACACAAAAGGTCAACATTTATGGCTTCAGCCTCTCTGAAAGAGTCTGGGGGCAAGAAAAGGATAGTGGTAGGATGTATCTGGACCTGAACCATAGATTTTGCATCACTGATTGCTTATGGAAATCTTTCTCTATAATTTACATGACTTTGTAAGAAAAACATTACCATGTTTGCAGGTGGCTTCAGTTTTATGAAGACTTGACACATTTAAGATATTTGTAGTAATTCTTTTAATGTACAATGTTGCAAGAGTTGTGAGAGAATTAGTTTTTTGGGTTTGCATTCCCCCCTCTTCCCCCCCACCCAAGATGGAGCATTCCCCTTCAGATCAGAAGAGGAGGAGAAGGAGGAAGAGGAGGATAGTGTGTTTGAATGATGCCTTGGGTCAAAAGCTTTCTTGCAGATCAATTAAAACGTTCAACTCTCATTACTAACTTTGCAGATTTTGTAAAAGAAGGAGATTAGCAATAATAACAATTCTTATCTGTGGTTTGGATCCACCTTAGGATGTTAGGCCTTATTGGATGAAGTTGGCTTTCTACAGAACATGGAGACTTGATTGTAAAACTGCTAACAGTGAGGGCATTAGCTGATCCTAATTATTGATCAACTCCAAAATGATGATAAATTGTATTTTAAGACTCTGAGGGAGCAACATTATGCCCAAAGGAACTCCTTTGAGTGTCAGACTCAATATGGCTTACCTTTTGCTGCTGCTATTGAGCCGAGGTGGCACAGTGGTTAGAATGTAGTACTGCAGGCTACTTCAGCTGACTGCTAGCTGCAGTTCGGCAGTTCAAATCTCACTGGCTCAAGGTTGACTCAGCTTTCCATCCTTCCGTTGGTAAAATGAGGACCCAGATTGTTGGGGGCAATAGGCTGACTCTGTAAACCACTTAGAGAGGGCTGTAAAAGCACTATGAAGCAGTATATAAGTCTAAGTGCTATTGCTAAGTGCTATTGCTATAGCGTTTGCCTTTCTCCTGCCAAGGGTTTTATTACAGGTAGTCCTCAACTTATAACCATTCATTTAGTGACCATTCGAAATTAGAAAGGCACTGAAAAAAGTGATGTATGACCATTTTTCATACTTACTACCATTGCAGCATCCCCATGGTCATGTGTTCAAAATTTGGATTCTTGGCAACTGGCCTGTATTTATGACGGTGCAGTGTCCCGGGGTCATGTGACCTCCTTTTTGCAACCTTCTGACAAGCAAAGTCAATGGGGAAGCCATGTTCACTTAACCATGTTACTAACTTAACAACTGCAATGATTCACTTTAACTGTGGCAGGAAAAGTTATAAAATGGGGCAAAACTCACTTATCTTTCTCAGCAAAGGAAATATGGTTTGGTTTAGTTGTGGTTGTAAGTTGGTGACTATCTATATTTGTTTAAAAAATGAAATGCCTACTGATGAAGATTGTTTCTGATTAATAAACGTTTGTTTAAAGGCATATGGTTTTGTGAGCTATAGCTCACTTTATCAGATGTGACAGAGATCCTATGGAACTCTTCGGTGGCATTATTATTATTATAATCTTTTATTCATTAAACATGAAACCCAGTCTACTGAACATTTAAAAATGTATCACAAATATTATTGACTGGTGCTGATGATTGATACGGGTTGCTGCCAGCATCCTAGGTATCAACCAAGTACTTCCTTAACATGTATGAGGTTCCAAGTAGCACAGTTTTTTGCAGTTCCATTGGTGTTATTGCAGGAAGCTGCAATTTATTGATGCATTTTGTAAAATTCTTGGACATAGTACCAAGTGCCCCGATGGTAATGAGAATCACTGTTACATGTTTCATCCATAATCACGTAGTTTCAATGGCCAGGTCGCGATATTTCGTGATTTTTTTCCAGTTCCCTTTCTTCAACTCTTGTGCCTCCTGGTACAGCAATATCAATAAATTGTACACTTCAGTTTTTGACAACTGTGATATCTGGCTTGTTGTATTCCAAATAACGATCTGTCTGTAATCGAAAGTCCCACAAGATCTTCACCTTCTCATTTCCGACAACTTTTTCCACTTCAACTTTTCCCATGACTTTTTGGATACAGGTAAATTGTATTTTTTACATAATGACCAGTGGA